GTGAACGTTTTACCCACAGAAGCCACTCAGAACAAACCCAACGCCGCTGTGCATCTGATTCTAAGGTCAGATTATCCACACTTCCCCAAGCTAAACACGCTGCAGGCCTCAGCAGGGTGCACGACTGACACGCTCAGGATGCAAGACGTGGAAGAGGCAGCAGGCTCATCTGTCCCAACTCTTGAATTCAACAAGGAAACAGAGACTCAGAATCCAGGCGTCCCAAGTCCAGCCTGACCTCCCTCATTCCACATCAGCTCACATCACCTGCCATTCCCTTCCATTCTGCTCTCAGGGCTGCCTGCTCTTGGCCTTCTCCCACCAACAACTATCTTTACGATGAGTGAAAAAAGTCCAGGCACTCGGAGCTTCCCGAGACAGCTGCTGAGCTTGGCCCAGAGCCACGCAGTGGCTCCCCACCCTTCGCAGAGAGCACAAGGTCATACTCGAACTCACTGCCCTCCCTGGGCACTTGCCAGCGCGAGCAGGCTTCTGACTGCTTTCACCTTCTGGGCTCACCTATGCTACAGGCTTTGTGGCTGCAAGAAAGGCGACAGGTGGGCCTCAGGCTGCCCTGCCATCAGCAGGGCCCAGCCACACCTGGGCTGCAGCTCTGCCTTTCATAACTCAGGTTGCTGGGAAAATGGCTCAGTGATAACTTGTGTTTGCTTGCTGCTGAGATCAAAGTCCTTCCTGGACTTCTCAAATCCAGAAGAGTGACTTGCCTGAAGTCACAAAGCAGGTGATGACAAAGGAAGGACACCCATCTCCCCTCTTACTCTGGTTCTCAATGCATGCTTGGCTCACGTTTCTTTTCAGTAAAGACACTGAGATTACAGTTACAGCTTAAACCCAGTTTTCCCACCGAGAGGGGCAATGCAGAGAGGGAGGGGTGGGCAGAAGCTCCAAGGTGAGTGTGAGCCTGAGCTCTGCTGTGAATTGGCTGAATGACCTTGGGCAGGTTACTTAACATCTCTGAGCCCTGGTTTCCTCAGTCTTACAAGAGGAACAAATTACAGTACTGGCTAAAACCACCTCTTCAAAGTGTGGCCCATCTGTTTCCCAGGGAGCTGGTCAGAAATACAGAATCTGCCTTGAAAGAGATTCTAAGGTGATTCTAAACACATTCACATTTGAGAAACCCAGATATAAAGCATTTAGCACAAGCCCATGCTTAGTCCTCAATAATAAATGTAACAGCAATTAGCACCTGAAAGGGCCCAAAACACAGGCCAAGGCTCTCAGGAGGAAACAGACCCAGGTGGCTGATTAACCTGGCCAGGGTCAGACAATGTCACGCTGGCACCAGCATCCAAACCCAAGACTTAGGCCTCTTCTGCACCACGAGCCCTCCTAAACTCTCCACAAGGCATGATGCTAACTCAGGTGTTCTAAGAGGCAAAACCCTAATGTTATTTTAAAATAACACCCTGGCCACCTTGCACCCCTTCTGTGAGCACACGGGTTCCCCTGGGCTCCACTCCACGTGCTCCTGGGTGGCAGTCTGCCAGTCAGATGCTCCAAGAAGTGGAGACTGAGGGCTGGGGCCAGCTGCTGCCTGAGATGAAGTTTTGAAAGCAAAAGGAAGCCTTAAAGCACACCTTATAAATTTACACTCCCTTTCACCTATTAACACCTTCCTGATGCCCAGTGGAGAAACAGGATAGGGTGTGAAGCTCAAAGGCATCCTTTTGGCTTCCCTCCTCTGACACCTGAGAGCAAACCGACTGCATGCTGGTTTCCCAGTACTCAAGTACCATAGGTGAGGATGGGAGGATCCCCGGGCCACCGTCCTGGCTTCCCCAGACACCCCGACAGAATGGAGACTGAGAAGCAGCAGCAAAGCTGGGGGCTCTGAACAAAGAAGCTAAATTGTGGGCGTGGAGTCACTAGGGAAGAGAGAACAGAATCACATCACTAGGACCAGCCTGCTGAATCACGAACATTTACAGCCAACAGCTCAAAAACTATCTGTGGGCCTACTGTGTGCAAGGCAGAGTGATGTGGCAGAGTGGCAGAGCTTGGTCTGACCCTCATATGTGCCTCTCAGTAGCTGGGCCAGTCTGCAGCAGTTACTCAACCTCTCTGAGCCCAGGATCTCCTCGCCTGTGAGAGCATCTACACACAGGGTGACTGCGAGGGTTAAGGGTGACAGATGTCAAGTCCAGCCCAGTGAACAGAGATGATATAATCATTGCATGGGGGGGGGGAGAGGGGAGGAGGGGACGGGTATATGCATACACAAAGAGTGCGATGCGCACCCTCCGGGGGACGGACATGCTTGAAACTCGGACTTGGGGGGGCAGTAAGGGCAACATACGCAACCTAAACATCTGGACCCCTATAATATGCTGAAATAAAAAAAATTAAAAAAAAAAATCACTGCATCAACATGCATTTACTGAGCACCCACTTATGCCAAGGCCTAGATGCAGAAATTATCCTCCCTGTTGTATTTCAAAGTTTGGAAGTCCAAACAATTAACGGTGATTGGTTTTACAACTGTTCAGATGGAAGTAATCAAAAAGAAAATTTCAAGACTTCAGATCAGGAAATTCTAATTTTTACACCTCCATAACAAAACTAATAGATGAAATCTCAAATTCATAAAAAAGGCAGATTTCAGATTCACTACAGCACTGCTTCGCAAACTTCAGTTTGTATATGAGCCACTTGAGGATCTTGTTAAAATGCAGATTTGGACTCAAGGAGTCTTCCTGTGGGACCATAGAGTTTGCATTTTAAGTGCTCCCAGTGAAGCTCCAGAGCCCATACTCTGGAGCAGGAACAGTCTATGGAATTCCTCTAATAGCAAGAAACGAATCCAAGGAAAGTATAATTTGATATGAAAACAACATCCCAGGAGAACATCAGTGAAGTAGTGTATATGGAACCACACAAGCTAACAGGATTTTTTAAAGGGAGGCACACCAGGAAAGCTGGCCCTGGGCCCTATTCAAATGAGTTTGTCTAAACCCTACTTTTCTAGGCAGGTGAAAGTTGTCTTGTGATCATAAACACGGCACAGTGTAGGAAACACAGCCCAGGATACTTCAAGTTCACAGCCACCCCATAGCCAAGCTAGCCTTTTTTTAAAAGGCCTTTCCTAAATCAGTTTTACCTATTTTTCCCATCTATACATCAAATTTGATGCTGTTTCTGTTCACACCTGTAACTTGTAAAAGCCTACTGAATTGCCAGATATGGATTATTCAGAAATAGTACGATGAAAGTGACAGGTAAGGAAGCATCTCACAGTGACTGATTCATCTTACTGTGTGTACTGCATGGATCAATAAAACATGTAGAAGGTTCATATTTATAGGATCAGAGATGTAGTTCTGGACAGTCTTTGGCTCAGAAATGCTAACACACAAGGTCCTCCACATCCCCTGAAATGAGCTTCTTGGACAAAGAGTGCGAGGGAATCTGATCTCCAGCTGTTGCTAGCACTGTGAACACATCTGCCCATCAGGAGACACGGGCCAGCCTTGCACACTGGCTTAGAATAACACATATGTTTATTACAATTCCTGTCATAACCCTCTTGACTGCTGGGCTTGGACTCAAAGTCTAGAGTCATCATGAGCCAGTGTGTGATGTGAAGCAGTTACCCCGAACTGCCCAGAAACTGCTGAGAGTGCACGACTGGCCCAGAAACAAGGGATTCCCCTCCCGGCACTCACCCACTAGTGGGAAGATGCGTGTTCTGACAAGAAATGCCAGAGCAGGGCTGTCACCTGTGCCCAGTGTTGCTAATTCATCCAGCAATCACCGGACTGCTTCTCCTGACTCCACGCCCCTGCCTGAGGGCCCATGTGCACTCAACTGCAATGCTACATGCCGAGGACGGTCATACTCTCACCCACTTGGGAAGAAGTACACTAAGAGCAAACTTCTGGCTGAGCCTGGCAGGTTCTTCCCCGCTTGTCCATGGGGAGAGCAAGTTTTCCAATAAGCCACCTTCTTACTTAGGCCAGAGCAAGCCTAAGCTTTCAGATGAGCATCACAGGATTGAGGCTGTAACAGAGAATGTGATTCCTTCCCATCTTGATGCCTGCAGCATCCAAGAAGAGGAAACAGAGACCCCAGAATGTTAAAAAAAAAACTGGGCAAACGTGAAGTCTATGCTATCACTAACTTCACAGGAGACCTAATTATTAACTAACGAGAGAGGACACACCCAGGGAACAGGTTTGCATTTCCCCACCTGCTCCTGACTGGTTCGGTTCTCCTGCCTTCGATTGCCCCCTGGAGCATACGGCAACAAGCTCCAGCTGTTTCCTGAACAATAAGCAAAACGTCCAGTATTTCACGTTTTTGCCAAGATGCCTAATACCTGCAGATAACTTAAAATAACAAGTACAACAAGCTTTCAACTAAGTAAATGCGTCTTGGAATGGGGAGGGATCTTCAAGCCCTATTTCCTCCCCATCCCCCCACCCGCTAGGCCTGGTTCAATAGAACGTAAGGACTTTGCACTTCTCAGGAAAGCAAAAGGAAAACGCCAAGTTTCCCCAGGCAGCAGGAATACTTAGAGCGCAGGCAGGAACTTCTGCGGAGGGTCACGCGTGTCTGCTACAAGTTTAGGCTCACGCGCGCCACTCAGCTGCCGGCCAGGCCCCTGCTCCAGTCTGCGCCCGGCCGAGTCGCGCCCGGCGTGGGGAGAGTGCGCCTCCGGGTCTGGACCGGGTTTCAGGAAGTTCGTGATCTCCTCTTCCTGGTGCCAGGAGGTTTTGATGGCGCTTTATAGTGGGCTCCTGCAACTCCCGACCCCACTGCACGAGCGTGCTGCTCTTGCTCTGCGAGTGCCAGGCTCGTGCACACACTTCCTGGGGACTCTCCCTCTTTTGCGTGCCCCCCAGTGGTTTGGAATTCCGGCCAGGAGCACAGGATCTGGCAGGTCGCGCGGGAAAGTGGAAACCACTCGTGTCCCGCAGGCCAGAGACTGAGCAGGGAGGGACGCAGGGTTCGGTGCGCGTCGCATTCGGAATACTCACCGGGACCTCTGCAGCTGCTCGAAGGCGCTGGTGCTGCCGCCCTGGCCCGGCTGCTCCAGGGGGCAGTAGTTCTGCGAGGTCTGCCTGGAGAAGGCGATGGGCAGGATTCCCTGAGTGAACGAGTTGAGGCGGCCCCGACTGCCGCTCCCACTCCCGGGAGTCCCGGAGCCAAAGAAGGCTGCCGCCGGCACCTGCACGCTAGTAAAGGCATCGTCCTCCTCCAACTCCTCCTGCCCGGCGCCGCCGGGCCCGTCGGGCAGCTGTGGCTGCGCACAGGCAGCGAGGGGCGCCGGCCGGAACGGCTGCCACTGCTCCCCCGACGCCCCGCCCGCGCCCAGGGGGCTTGCGAATCCCCGCGCCGCGCCGGGGCAGGGCACGGTCGCGTGGCCGCCCGGGGCCAGGGGCGGCAGCAGCGAGGGCTGCGGGAGGCAGGGGCCGGACCCGGCGGCCAGCGGCGCGCCCGGCGCGGCGAGCGCGCTGCAGCCGCCCCGCTCGGCGGCGAGCAGGCTGAGCCGAGTCCGCGCGCCCCAGGCGCTGCCGGCGCCCGGCTTGGCCGCGCCACTCTCGTCGCCGCCGCCCCACTCCGCGTCCTGCGGCGGCGGCCGTCCGTCCAGCGAGATGTTGGTGAGGAAGGAGAGGGCAGCCTGGCGGCGCCGCGGGTCCACGCGCGGCTTCCGGGGGGGCTCGGGCGGCGGCTGGGCCGGCGCGGCGGCCGCGGGCTGGGGCTGCGGCGGCGGCGGCGGCTGCTGCAATCCGCTGGCGCCCGCGGCGTCGGTGCCGGCGCTGCTGCTGCTGCAGGCGGCCGTGGTGGCGGCCGCCGCCATTGTGTCCGTCTGCGGCGGTATTTCCGCGATGCCCCGGGAAGCGAGCGGCGCCCGAGTGCTAAGCGGCGGGCGCGAGCGGCGGCGACCCGGGCTGGGCAGGGCGCGGGGCGCGGGCGGCGTGCGCGGTGGCCCGGCCCCCCCGCGGGCGGGCCATGCTCGCCCCTCGGTGCTCGGGCGGGGGGCGCCCCCGCCCCGGCCCACGCGCGCGCCTCGCTCGCTCGCTGCTGCCGCCGGCTCGCTGGCTCCTCGCCCGCCGGCCGCTCGCCTGCTTCTTGGGTCTCGGGCTCTGGGGCCGGCGTCCGTATTTATAGGTGCGCGCGCCCCGCGCTCGCGCTCCGAAGCGCTCTTTGCAATAACACGGTATCACGTGTGGGGAATGAAACCTGGGAGGAAAACAAAGCCGCGGGCGGCGGCCGCGGAGGCAGGCGGCGGGCGGCGAGGGGGCCGCCGGACGAGGAGGAAGGAGAGCCGAGCGGGCGGCGGGGCGGGGGATCGGCCGGGGTGTCCGGCTCGTTCGAGCTGTCTGCTGGGAGAGTTGGGGACTCCCGGGGCGCGCAGAAGCCAGGTGCGGGAGGCGAGCACGTTGCCCCGGCGCGCTCGCACCGGGAGTTGGGGGCGCGAGCAGGACCTGGTGAGTTACTGCCTGGGGCTGTGGCCCCGGCAGAGTTTGCGGGTCTGCAGGACGACTTGGAGCGAAGCAGAGATTTGGACAGCGAGCGAGTTAACTGGACCCCGTGTTGCTGTTGGGTTCCGAGAAATAAATAGGTCCTTATTAAAAGTTACACAGCCCCCACGTGGACAGTCCCGCCTTAGAGCTGTCGCTAACCATTAGAACTGGGTCTCATTCGCAGACCGAGGATGCAGCTCGAGATAAATGCCCGCCCTGGGGTGCGTAAGAGCCCAGGAGCTAGAACGTCTTCCTCTGGCCAAGCTAATTTACACATCCTCAGTCTGTGGTGCTGTCACGTTTCATCTCTCTTTTAGCAAAGGCTAACGTAAATTTTTACTTTGGCCCTGAAATATGCTATTTTCTATGAAGACTGGAGTGGGCTAAAAGGGCCTTACACTCTTTTCTCCTTGTCACCTTGCAAATGTTTTTCCCCCCCGCATGAACTGGAGCCAAATGGACAGTAACTATGTCGTTGATTTCAAAACATTAGTTTAGCACCTACTGTGTCTTCTATAAACGTGGGTTCCTGCCCAAGGACTCGATGACCCTTCTAGAACAGCAGCAGCTCTGGGAGGAGTGGCAGCCCTACCCCCAAGTGCGGGTCACAGCTGGGGGTGGGGTGGGGGCGGAGGGCCTTCAGCACCAGCGATCTGAAAACTCGTGCGGGTGTCCCCAGGCGGTGTGGGTGACTTAACCAAATGCAGTAAGGAACAGTTGTCACACAGAATTGAGCTCGGTGACACTTAAGAAACTTCCCTGCACTTTGGTGAGGGAGAGGCAATGTGTTTAAAAGATCAACGGATTAATTTAATTAAAGGTTTAAATTTAGCCCCGGAGCGAATGGGTAACTCTACATTGAAATTCCACTCCATTTCAAGTTCAGGAAAGTAAATTGAGTAACGGAGAGCAAATACACCCTGTCCAGAGATGTGCAGCCAACCTGGAGAGTGAGATGGGGTGGGTTTCAGGTTACATTTGTTGGGGACATGATGACACACGGCCCTCTACATGAACAATTGTTCATATTTTGTGCTGTTTAGGCCTTTTGAAAAAGTGGAGCCTGGTATCTTTTTACAGCAGCGAAGTCAAAGCTTGGTGGCCAGCTCTGTGAAATTCCATCAGGATTTTAATTACTTTAACTAACTACCTTGAAACTTCCAAGCCTCTTTTTTACAATTGACTTAATTTACATGACTGCTGGCTTGGCTGTGCCGGCAGGCAGTGTTAAGTGAATCCAAGTCTGCTCCCGTAAAAGAAAAAACTACTTTCTTTTATTATAAAAGTGATAAATGTTCATCACAGACTTAAGATAAGCAAAGAGGCACAAAAAAAAAAAGTATCACTTAACAATCTCATCTCCTATGGAAATAATTTAAAGTTTTGATTTCTGTCTTGTGTATATTTTTAGACAAAAGCGAAATCAGGCTGTTTGTATCTTGTGATTTTTGCCTGATGTGGTATGATCATCTTTCCATTTAGAATATTCTTTATGGCATCATTTTAATGACTGCATAGTGTTCAATTTGATGGAGACACTATTAATCTGTGCATTTAATAAGTTTGTTTTTTCCACTTTTGTTCTTACTATGGTGATGATGACATCCTTTTTGTTTTTAAATCTTGCTACCATCCAGTATTATTTTCTTAGATTAAATAGACGCTGGGGCAAATGGTATGTCATGTTTTTAAGGCTTCTCATCCAGAAAGGTTGTTCCAATCTGCTTCCTCACAATCTTGCTGGGTATTAGAAATTTTCCGCTTCCCGCAAAGTACAACTATGATACATCAATTTAAAAAATGCAAAAAACTTTTCCCTCAATATCCATTTCTTTGCTCATTTGATACAACTCTTGGCCTATTTTAAGCGTCAAGTATACACACTAATTTCAAATATTTATTAAAGCATCAAACAAGAATCAACGTCTATTTAATCTCCAAACGGCTTCTGTGATCCCTGTTATAGAGATATTGCGAGAGATGATTTATTGTTCATCTATTGTGTGCCAACCACAGAATATTTCTAATCAGTATGACCACCCTGTGGTGGTGGTGGTGGGTAGGATGCTGTCATCCATATTTCACAGATAAGGCTCAGCAAAATTAAATAATTTGCCCCAGGTCATTTACCTCTTTAAGTTCTTTAAGTGGTTGGGCTGCTGGGCAAACCTGTCTGACTCCAAGACCCAGGCGTGTTCTTGCGCCCTCTGCTGGTGAGGATGTTTAATGGGGGTCAGTCTCCATTAAAGATTTAATCTTATATTCTTACTTGACAGTAAACTATTAATATAATGGAAATGGTTAAAGCTTTGGAGTAAGAGGATCTGAGTTTCAAGAGCAAGTCACTTAACCTCTCTGAGCCAATTTCCTCTGTGGGTTATTGTGAGATAGAAATGAGAATGCGCGAGGAGCATTTTATGTACCTTGAAGTGCTTTTTAAAATGTCAGTTGTTATTTACACCATCTTAATCTACGTAGTCCCTGAGTTATTGCAAATTCATTTATTTTTCAGCTATTTATTCATTGATCAAGTATTCCTGAGCAACTTCTGTGTGTACAGTACCATCTTGTGACAAAGGGATAAAAAGAAGTATGGCCTTCAGCCCTGGTGCGTTTGGTAGTTAAAATAGTGGAAAACAAAAGCTCAGGACACATTTAAACAAAAATTCAAAGCCAATTCTGATTGTGTCAAATGTATAAACACTAAAAGAATATGGAAAAGTAGCTTTTTAGTTGAAGTGAGGCCTATGGGGGAAGGCCCCAGGCAAGAGCCAAGATTTGAGCTGACCTAAGAGACGAAGGAGGACCCTTCCAGAAGAGGAAGTTTTACATACAGATTCCTCATGCTTTGCAGGCAGAGAGGATTAGAACTTGAAATGTGATTCTTCTTAGCCTGCAAGTTCTCCAGCCCCCTTGACTTCCACATCGCCCCTTCCAAGTGCCCATTCCAAAAACTTTGCATGCACGAACCCAAAATACTTGTACTATTTTGATTGACACATACTGCAGGTCAATTTTTTTAAAAGAAAGAAAAGAAAAAGAAGCTACAAATAATCACTTACCCTTAAAAAATAATAATAAGTTAGCAGACCAAGAGTCTAAAAATGAGCTTAGGCTCTTATAAGCATGTGAGCTTGTAAGGTCTCCAGCTTGGGCAAATTATAAACTTTGTTCCTTGGTGGCCTCATCTGTCAAGTGAAGTTTAGCACTATTTTACCTTGCACAGTTGTGAGTATTACCAATAATAAAAATTATGCAGCTAGCACAGTATCTGGAGTTCAGTGATTAGCTGTTATTAGAAAAATGCAAAATACAGAAAGTGCATGCAAGAAATGTTTTAGGTTCTAGGTTTAGATGTTTTAGGTTCTAGGTTTTTGTAGTTTTCACTGGTCCTGCCTAGCAGGCAGGACCATGAGAAACTTCAGCTGTCACCTCTGGTTCACATCAGATTATTTTACTGTGTTGTCCATCAAAGTACAGGCAGCACACACCAGACTAGCAGATCCAACACATAGGCATAGTGCCCTTGAGAAACCTACAGCTGTCCGTAATCCAGGGAAAGTTAGATTCTCTAGAAATAATGTCCAAGAGGTGATCCTCAATGCCCCAACCCTTCTCCCTGAAGTCACCTTCCTTGGGACTCTCTGGGGGCATTTCTGTCACTTCTGTCACACTGAGAGAGTAGAGAGGGGGAGGGAGGATGAGAGGTTATTGTTCCCCTTTACAATGTGACATAAATACCTTAATTTCCTTCCTTAATTTTCCCCAGGGACATCTGAGATCAGATACAAGATTAAGATAAGACTTGACTAGAAGCGCAGGGATGTTAGATGAAGAAATAAACTCAGTGAGTAATATTTAGCTCCACATAGCAGCTTACAAAATGTGACTTACTTGTAACCCTCATCCCAATATTTCCTAAATGCCAGTCCCATGCCAGGTCTGCGTTAGAGTCTGTGAGTTCGAAGGAGAGCAGGACGTGTCCTACCTGGAGCTAATGTCAGAGAAAGCCATAATACGTGAAGTGTTATTAAAAAAAAAAGCCGTATGCAGAGAGTTCAACCCACCCGCCAAGGGGGTTACACCCCCTTGAGAAGAGGCTTTTGCAACCTTTACCCCCCAGGGCCACCCATCTAGGACACCCTCTTCTCCCTAAACAGGAAGAGATGCCAAGGGGACATGGTGTCCCTGCCACTCCCTGCCAAGGTTCTGTTCTCCAAGTCTCCTTTCCTGCCTGAGGACCTGCCCTTCCCTCGGTGCCTGGCATCAGCAGCCCCTGACACCATCCAACCATAGGCCCAAACAGGCTCCTTTTTGTCTCCAGACCCCTGAC